ATGAATATACAGTCAAACAGCACGTAATGTTGTCAACATTCAATGACAGTTGTCCAGCAGTGCTCCCATTCTATTTACAACAATCCAATGCATACGAGATTGTACCGAAGGTATGCCGATGGATGTGCCCAAGCTGTGCCGAATCTAATTTCGGCACATTGTGCTGAGAGACTTACCCCTTGAGAATTCTTGTTATAGTCACTGGAGTGACAAATGGGCCTTGATTTGACCTGCACTCATGTTCTTGTCCAGAACCAGATGCGATATCTGTCTTTTTTCTCTTGACGACAAGGCTTCGTGAAAAACGAATCAGATTGAATGATGTCTCTGTTGTTTGAGTGTTAGGTATGCCGGAACAATAAGAAATCGTTTAAATCCATTTAGCAAAGTGTTGTGATGTGAACATCTATTAGTAGGAGATTTGTCATATTCCCGTCAATCAAAACAGCATCCAGATTTTTTATGTGATTTGTAACATGACCGATGGAATGTCAAAACTTTTGAAACTCTTTCAACGACGCTCTAAGCATCTCAGCCGTTTTTGTGACTATTTATTGTCAGCAACCATTTGAACTGAGGGGGGTGACTCTATCTACGATGCAGGAAATATTTTGTTTTGTTGTGGTTAGCTGCGCGCACGCTGAGTAGATTGAAAGAAGATGGATGATGATTCGCTAGTTTGAAATTTTTCGGGTATCTAGAATGGATCAATGAAAATGCTGAGGTTTTGACAGAACCATGCTATGAATACCACAGTATTTTACATATGATCACCCATATACAGTAGCACCAAAAGCATGCTGTGGTGGGTTCAAAACTTGACCATCTAAATTGTTCAATTGCGATTGAGATGTGACGCCTCCTTGATTTGACTGCGTGTCAAACAGCTTTTTGCGGCGACTTGAGCTGCTTCTTCCAGTTGTTTTTGCGTCCGCCGCTTAGCCTCCTCTTCATCCTTTATCCGCTCCTTCTCTGTACTGTATACCGAATTTATAGTAGTTATCTCTATGGTAATACGCCTCATTCTTGTATTTGAAAACAGAAGGCTGCTGTTTCAGAGCATTGCTTGCTTCCTCTCCACTGTTCTTCTCGAAATCTGGGGACGTCACATACATCTCCGCCACCTCTTATTCCAACACCTCAACCGCTTCCTCTTTGTCTTTGTCGTTTGACAATGCAGCTCCAGTCACTACATCAGCGTAATACTGGTAGTGCTCCATTCTAATCTGGATTTTCTTCTTCCGTTTGCTGTTGTACTGGCTGCTTCCGATCCTTCCGCTTGGGGCAGGGATTGATCCGATGCCCTTCTGTCTCAGTAAGGAAACACACATTTTTGTTTCCTTGATAGAATCTGTTCCCCTTTCAATTGAGGAAATGCTGTCTATTATCAACGATATGTGCTTGTACCGCAACTACTCAGTACCAGTCGATGTGAACGCCGTTGATAATAGACGATTGTTGTGTATTAGAGAACGCTCGCGCAAAAAGACTAGGGTGAGAAACGGATTCGAAACGCAAATGTCATTAGCCAAATACACCCGTAGACCATATATATTCACCGTTGTATAATTGGCAATGCACCCGTGTACTGAATGGAAATTATGGGTTCGAATCCCACCGGTGCCCTTAGATTTTTTCGTAAATTTTCTCACACACATGTCTCTTACCGATGATATGTGCTTACCTCTCAGTATGTTCAAACTTTCTTATAAACAGTTACAAACTAGGCACAGACAAACAGACATATCTCTTAGAAGAAAATTCTTCTAAATATATAGTTAAGCGTATTTTGTATGCACACTAGCACCCTCTATCATGCAAATTCCGAAGCATTGTTTAGCAACCGGAGCATCCCTCGTTCATGGAATTTTTTCACTACTTGTTTTTCTCTCGTTTTGTCAACTCGTCAGATGTGTGGAAAAAAAAAACAACACAGATGGAAGTTAGTTATGCCGGTTCTACGAAATTTTCTATAGATCTATAGAATTGATTGGATATTGCAGAAATACTGATCCGTAGGATAAATTCACAGAAGCTCAGTCTTCCTTGGGGATTTGTTTTGATTGTAAAGTGTTGTTTTTTTTTACTGGAAACAAGTTTTTAAAGGTGCATAACATCCGTTGGTCCCCGGTTCATGAGTTGATGGGTCGATAGGAAGAGTCCAGGTGTGGGAGCTGCCTCCCTGGCGTCGGTAGTATTGGTGCTCAGCACGGAAAACAAGATCGACGGAAAACAAATCAAGGAAAAAAAGTTTTTAAAGGTGGTACTGCATCACTAATGAGTGCCCTACCACCGCTAAATCAACCAACAAGTTACTAAAAGTGGATAAAATATTAGACTCATTTAAATGATTGTTCACAAATTCTGTGTGTATCGTACAGCGTAATATCAACAATCAATACGAAACTATCGATTTTAAATCGGCTCACTACTTGACTAGCCTATTGGTCCCAAGCAAATTGATTCACGTACCACATTCTAGTCGAAATTCTGGTACTACTCAATGTTTGTTTTGATTTGCCATGAAAGTTTGACAGATAAAATGAGGGGTTATTGGATTTTCCTATGTTTCGAGGGGTGAATCGATTAGCTTGGGACCGAAGATAGTACCAGAGCTGAGCCAAAAAGTTGAGCACTTTTCTTCGGGACCTACTAGTCTTAGAGTTACCTCTATGGTAATATGGTAACATAACAAGCGGAATGACCAATCGACTGTTTGGGTATAATATTCAACAATTTTTTTTTCTGTATTCGTCAGATTAGTATGTGGTAGAGTAATGACCCGATTTTATCAACACCTCCGCACATTAGACTTTTATCATTAAATAATTTCATAAAATCTTAATTTCAAGATGGGTGTTTAAGGTACACTTTGGTCCAATAAACTGAAAAAGCGCATGGGTTACGTAGAATATTAGGAAAGATTTTCAAAAAAAGTGGATGGAGAAATCGGGTCATTGCTATATATGTCTCCAATCGAATCCCTTCGTCACCTTATCATTATCAAGAGCTGACATATACTAAATTGAGCTGAAAAAGAACTGGAATCACTGATAAGTTCGAAATGTAGTGGCTTGTTTAACGATTCAGTGGCACCATCATGACAAATGCAAGCACATTTTCAACTAAAACCTTTTTTGCGAAGAATGTGATGACGATTATTATGTCTGTTTGTTTGTGATCTAGGTGTCATGCTTTGATCCCAAAAAAAACGTTACTTTTCAATCTACATCGTCGTTCACGCATTTAACGATTGATTTGAAAATTATCATTTCCGCGATCTACTAACGGCAGCGCTAGAATCGCATCGCTTTGACGTTTCTATATATTCTATATACCTTGCATACAATATTTTTTGCGACTTAACGAGCAAGTTTATTTTGAGGTGCAATGTTTTCAAGAGAAACTTACTCAAAGGTTACGTCTGTTTATCTGTGCTTTGATGGTGTGATGTGAGTGCGTGAACCCGTGTGGAACAAATCGCTTGCAGAAAGGTGAACTATTTTTCTTTTTGATTCGCCGACTTTTTCGCACTTGTGATTCAACTTCATTGGTTAAATGTAGCGGTATTAATAATTGTGGTCGAAGACGAATAGGATACCAGAAAAGATAAAAATGTATAATGGAACAGCTGACCTTTAGCCTAAATATAACATCATTACAGCGGTTGTACACCAATTTAGCAAAATGCTCAGTGTACCTGTAGCAATCCTCAGATAAATTCCATGAAGTAAATTTCATGACCACCACTTATAATCACCATTATTTGTGTCCCTCACCCATACGTGTGGTCAACTATTTGAATCATTTTTTTTTTGGAGATCATCCCACGTCGGCATGAACCCAAATACGTACATGTGTCTGTGTGATGCCGACTTTGCCGAATTTGCCGAGCATCATGCATTATTAGGTAATTTTGTAGTCCACCCGCAAAAAATAATGATCCTTTGAACCTGAAAAAAGTGCATCTCCACACAACCAACGCGATTGGCACGAATGTTCCGTTGTTGCCTTGCCGTATGCATCATATTCCTTTACAATTCTTGGCCTAATTTGCCGATCCATGGTGATGATCTGGCATTTTGTTTGCTGAATTCACGAGCTGTCTATCTCCCACCGCCACACCACTCAATTCGATCCCCCCGATCCGCGGAATAACGTTTGTTGAGTACGGTTCGCTATTTGTTCAGGTAATTTTCTTCCAATTCCATGAATAATTCAAAACAAATCATTTTGTTTATGCTTCTCCAGACGTCCATAGCCGAGTATCGACCCCACCACCACGACCGGGATGGCATGGCACGTGAATTCGCTGCACGTCTACCGGGATCGACGGATTTATGTTTTTGCAATGATACAGTTTAGTGCCTTTCGAAGAATTTCTACCCTGAAAGAATTTTAAATTAGTGGAAATTACTAGAATTCGTTCTCGCAGCTGTCGGGAGATTTTATGCACGTAAAACAAACGCCAGGATCGTGATTGCAATCGCCAATTCTAAAGATTTATGTTCAAAGAAGCCTATTGAAGTGAATCATCACCGGCAGTTATCTGAAAACGATGCGCAATTTATCTTTATGAGTCACAAGAGTGCTGTTCGGTGTTGAAATAATGAATTAGTGTGCTCCGCTGGAAACCACTCTGCAAAGTCCCATTTCGCAAACGGTCGCGAAGCGAAACAAATCCAATATTAGCTCCATATTTTTCAGCACTTATTCAAAACTCATGAATGTGTATCATTTAGCCTAATTAGCATCTTTCCTAGATCCCTAGATTCCCACGACATGCTCATTCGTTCATGAAGATTACCGCCATCATCATCAACAGCAGTCGATGGACTGCTACAAACCATTATAATGTTTGCAACCGAAGAAAAAGAGAGAGCCTCTTCTCCATCCGTATGGCTCCGATCGATTTTTAGCTGTTTATTCATACCCTCCCCTCGTTGGCATTTGTTTCAGTACTAATCCTAATTTATCTGCATTTCATTTTTGTTTTGCAGAATTTGGCTACTACATCCCGAAGGCATTCTACAAAATCGACGAAAATGGATACAAATCCCAATTGACCTACATCGATAACCTGCCGGTAAGAACTCATGCTGTTTTCTGGTGAAAGACGAAAAAAGTGGAATCCTATTGGGCATCCAGCCAGTTTGATCCCGGTCGGCTCTTTGATTGGGCAAATTTTGGAAATTGATTTTTTCCTATCATTTCCCACTTATCAACCTTTTTTTCTTCTGCGTGTGTTCGCTATCTTTACAGCCAATCTTCCATCGCACGAGGAGAGCAGCCCAGCTGGGAGGAGGTAATTAGCCTAATCGGCATTGTTGTTTTGTTTGACTTCGTTATGTGGATTTCTAGTGAATTTGATTGGAGATGATAATCAAGGAATATCAAAATCTTGACTCCCCACTTGGCAGCAAAAGGACCCAGACATGTGAATTGACTGCAAGTTATACCATGCACTTATATGCAGCCATAATTAAACCCTCTACTCGCATATCAAGCAGCGATTTAATACTTATCAAGCATTATATGTGAATATAGGGTAGGTATTATGCAAAAATGGCTTAATAGCGGGTCATAACTGTTGTCCCGTAATGCTGGAAGATCACCTCTTCAGCAGTATTTGCTTTTGTAAACAATAAACGGTGCATTCGATAAAAATGACACACACATAAACAGCTGTAACTGATTAACTATCTAGTATAACAAATGACTTGATGTTAAAAATTACACTTCAACATTTCGGCTCATTTTGACTCAAAAAATCGAAACCTTAAACAAAGGACAATTCAATACTTTTACACCAAACAAAAACAGTATTTTTACCACATTTTAAAAATTCATAATCCGTGTTGCCAAAAATATGCAAAACATAGCAAAATGTAGTTTTTTGCCACTGTACATCATTTAGAAGACAACATTCTGATTTCTTGATTAAAACCCAGGTCAACGCTATTTGCCAAGCGTATTTGAATCATGAAATATTTTTAACTCTTTAAGCAATCTTCATTTTGAGTTTAAAGCTATTTGATATAATAGTTTAAAAGTTACAGCTGTGTATGTGTGTGCCATTTTTATCGAATACAGCCTTTAGTTTAAGTTGTCGATTTCTCGCGAATGAAAGTTGAACACGAAAATCTTGTTGGAGTTTAAAAATGCGTTTTATTTTGCATAGTTCAATGTAACAGCTATGCAGTAGTAGCTATTATACTTACATACGTTAGTAGGTATTATGCTTATATAAAAGGCAGTAGTCTTTTCCGTAGGCACTCCTCCTGGTAAATTTGCTGGTTCATGGTCGCCGAAGTAATGAACGTTTTGCTTTTCAGCCCACAACTGCAGATTACTTGCCAGACAAGGAACTTTTAGGGGAATTTCCAAGGGGTTATGAACTCTGCACACTGTGCCAAAACACAGCATGGCACACTGTTCGGTACGTTAGGGCACTCGATAACAAGTAGGTCACAACAAATATAATATAAAACGGCATAACTGTCGATGTTTTACCAATCGTTGCTATGGATGCATGCATTGTTTACTCCAATGTAAAGCCCAATAAGTTCGTGCCATGCCACATTTCAAAAAGTACTGTAAGTATTTTCTGCATCATAAATCCATTCAAACTAACAAAACTCATCCGATTCGCAGCAAAAACCCCTGCGGCTTGTCCAGAGTTCAGAAAAGCTTCAATATCATTTTCCTCGACACCATAGTTTGGCGATAGAGTGTTGTCGATATGGCAGTCGAGACGGCCGTAACGGATTACCTCCAACGAGAGTTGGTCAAATACCTAGAAGATCTGGTTGTCCAATACGACGGTTTAGTTCGGAATGCGATCGGCGAAATCGTTGAGTTTACATTTGGTGCAACAGGCTAAACTGTACCAAATGCAGAGCAAATTTTGAAGAAGTTTGTTTGTGGTTGTCGAGCAGACTTCCGGAAGAGTTTCTGTTATTCCAACCAGCCTTTTTTTCCAAGCTTTTAATCGCAGTGATTTTTTTTACGAAATTCGATAAAAAGTTGGAATAAATCCAGAAACTGTTCTAAGTCTAACCAACCTCCCACGGACAGGTGGATATATTGGCAACATGTACAACAAAGCCATTATCGACACGGGAACGACCGGAAGAATATCCTGCATCCTACGAAGGTCAAATATACATTTGGAACGAAAGAGAGCAGGATATTCGATAATAGTTGAGCTACATTTACAAGTTTGTTATGTAGAATAACTTATAAATGTACTTCGGCCTAACGTCCTCCTGCCAAACGTACTTTGTTTCTATGACCCAACATCGAATAAATAATAAAAAAAGCTTATCGTACCAGGTTCGAATCTCGGGTTTTCCGAGGATCTTCCGGGGTGGAATTTTTCTCATCGTCCTTAGAGTTTTTCTTCGGATATTCATTCTTGTCATTCATCCTTATTCTTTAAATCGTATTACTCTCTATCACTAGTGTGATAACGTTAATTTTGTATCCTCACTAGTGATAGAGAGTCACACGACTCACCACAGAATAGGGGTTATTGGTCATTGTCATGAATAGTGCACAGGACTGGGAAAGGATATCCATAGAATTTTGCGGCTGGAAGATGCTGATATGTATTAACCCCAAATATTCCATCAAATCTGGGCCGATCGACGATTGTCTATGCGCAATAGTATAGGATTCATTGGAACGGATTAATACAGTCAGTCTGTTCCGCGATTTGGACATCATCCGTCATCTACGATCCAGTCATTTTGCAGATGCATCTCTGTCACCATCCTTCTATTGAACTTGTTCATCATAAGAGGCCCCGTTGCGATTAGAGGTGGGAAAACAGCTCATCTGGTTGAGTGGATCAAACCCATCCAGCTCACTAAAGGGAGTCGATTATTTTGAACAGCTCTTCAGCTCACATTAAAATTATAGAAATTATGACACAAATTCAAAATCGGAAAATTAATCTGTGGTTTTAGTGCTTAAAACTGCATAAAATTGTAAATGTAGTCTAAACTAGAGTCGGTGTATAATGAGTCACGCCAAGAGTGAAGCCAAGTCTATCTATTGAACTGTCAAATCGGCTACCTATCGTGCAAAGTAAATAAACATTACGATGCTATGAAAGGTCTACGAAAGGTATTGCAATGAATTATAAAATAAAATTGAAGAAATCATCATAAACACGCAGCGAGCATTAAATGGTCATGGGATACGTTTGGTTTTGAACAGTAATGCGAATTTCTACTATTTTTTGATAAGATAATTTGACAAAATCACTGATATTATGATTCACTACAGCCGTTATTTTTGGTTCTCGCTACAAGTCATTTAAAGTTGATGTAGAAGTCCTCTGTTGCCAAGTGATAAGAAAGGGAATCCTTCGGAAACCGTGATGCGAGTTCAACTGTTTTTCTCTTGGCGTGACTCATTATACACCGACTCTAGTCTAAACCAATAAATCCGTACCTAACAATATATGGCACTACTTTTCAATGGAAAACGCCACTAACGCAACAACTGACCATCGCGTAAACCAAAATGCGCGCAAAATGTGCCAACAACATATCAGTAAAAGCAAAAAATGTATGCGAGAGAGCTACACCTATGTCACACGCGATGATATGATTCACATCGTGATACACAATGTCACGCCTTTTCTCAAGCTATGCAATCCAGATTTGATTTCTGATGTTAATTCTCCAGCAGAATTTCTCTCAATATTCTCGGCTTCAGCTCCAGATCCGGATCCGGAGCTGAATCGTGAAGAATCGAGAGAGCTGGACGGGTTCGAGAGCTGGACGGTTCCGAGTCAACAGTTCCCAGTAGATGATTCGGATCCGGAGCTGAGCTGATAAGCTGGAGAGCTGCATTTCGCTTTTCAGTTATTTGCTTTTGTGCACATCTTCCGCTCCTTAAGAGAATGATGGGAGGAGAAGTGAGAACACATATGCTGGAGGAATAATATCAGCAGTAAATAAATTGGATAATACCAGTAGAAAATTAACATCGTGTAGCACATCTTCATACTATGTCTCTCTCTCCCAAACAGCCGCTTGGAAGTTTGCTTTTACCATTGGTGCTGTCGATCAGTAGGCACATGGTGTATTACGCTCGCGTCTTGGTTTACGCGGTGACTATTCAATGCGTAAGAGGAGTAATGAGTCCTTTTTTTAAAGTTCCGCTATGAGTGATGGATTGAATGGTTCAGACTTGTGATATCAGTGAGCTGATGAGCTGCGGTTCCTAAAAAATGAACCGTGAGCTATCAGCTCACTTGAGAGAATCGGGTCTATACAACAGCTCGGGAGCGGATCGCCCATCTCTAGTTGCGATTGGTGACCTACCGATCGGTCAACTGGAAGGCCATGCTGAATTTCGAAAATTTTACTCGCGTGAGTTTCGGTGCGCTCAGTGGTTTCTGTTTAACGACACTAAGCAGATTGCTGTTTAGCAAGAACCCATTGGGTAAAGTCAGATTTCCAGATTCCAATGCGGCTCATCCAGAGCTATCTTCTTGCATTGATTGCTCTGGGTCCGCACTAGGTACTCGACGCGCCGTTTACATGACCTTCGTTCATCTTTCCGTCCGTACGAGTTCTTTGTTTACTTTAGTTGGAGAGGATTTCAATGGATGCTGGTGGCATTTTTTACCTCCATCGATCAGGTTACTACTTCGTTTCTGCACACCTGCAAGGAATCAGTCATTCAAATTGAAATTGAGTCAGAATCATGAGGAACGGTCGTGTTTGCTTCAACACCGTATAGGTTTGATAAATAAGAATTAAAACACAATCACAAACGTCATTTTAACTTCAGGGATGCCAAACTAATGGGATATTGACAGTTTGATTGGAACACTTCGACCTACTTCGGCACATTCGGCATACCCTGGCATAGCGTTTGGCACAGCTAAAAAAATTGGAACAGCTGTAGATGTGCAGAGTTGAATACCCCCTGGGAATATCGGCTTCTTTTTGATTTTACATTCTTTCTGAGCACTCGTCCGGCCAACCGAGGAATAAAATTCCTGCCAAGGAATTTGATCGAAAACTGCCAAGAGCGTATAGACCGAAATTTTCGTTTCGAGCGTGCAGGATCGAATCGCAACGTGCTTGCTCCGGTGAGGCCATGATGTAAACAAATGAACTTACCCTGACGACCAATGCCTACTGTGATTCTATTGGCGAATCAAAGCAAAGCCAAAACTGGTCATGCGACACCTAGTTTTAAGATCCACAATTACAAAAATGATGATGTCCAAAAAACAATGCCATGCAATTTGACAGATATCAAAACGTCATTTCCTATTTT